TAACATTTTATATAAACCGCGCGGAGCGGTTTATATAGCGTCATATAAGGAACCGCTCGACCAATCAGATTGCCGGAAACTCTTTGTTCAGCTCTGAAATTATACTAATATAGCATAATTTTATAGCACTGAACAAAAATAAAGGTTGTATAGTGACGCTAGAAAGTAGGGTGGCAGAAGATTTGTATCACACCTGCCGCATACCCCACATTAATTAATGCCCTGTTCTACAAGATAAAGATGATTCAAGAATATACCAACCAATCGACATTCGACCAATAATCAAAGGGTAACAAATAATCATGTTAACATAAATAATAATGATAAAAATAGCAGTATCATAATGATTTAAGGGGGCCAGCTCGAAAGCGTCCTGGTAATGGTTCTCCCATCTTCTAAGCTCCTAAAATGATTATCTCTGTTTCTTTTAATTTCAACAGTTTTCTTATTTTATCGCAATTCCATTTTTGTAAGACTTTGGTACATAAAACAAGGTATACCGCGTTTTAGGATATTTCGTCATTCCACGTCTTAGGATATTCCTTCATTCCACCGTTCAACCATCTCATCGTTCCACCGTCGTTGGACGCCACTATGAAATTATTTTGAGGTGTCTATCGTCTTTTGTAATGACACAGCAAGAACTGAAAGGTTTTGTTTTCGGATTTACGTAATTAATTGGTTGAAACAGTAAAATGCTCCCAACTGAGGTATATCTGCAAGGTATATCTGTTTTTAATCGCGTGCAAACCTGGAATGATTATGAACTGTTTATCGTCTTTTGCTGTCTTCTGCCGTGTCACGCCAAGAACTGATAACAGTTACCGCTGAAAAACGGCTTCCTTGGATCTCCTAGGGGACAGAACACATTCCATTATCTTGAGTTGATGTGTCATCATTTATTTATTATGGAAATTAATCATGCTGATATAGAACCAGACAGACAGACTGACAGACTACTTGTTAGACAATTGATGAAGTCACGCAAATCATTCGGCAGTTATTTTGCATGAGAGTCATACAGACTTAGTTGTGACAGTGATTTCTCTGTTACCAGTATTACACAAATTTACTGTCCTTAGTAAAATGTTAATAGTAATTCAATAACAGCAGTACCTCACGATATAATAGAAGTCACCTTGACGAATGGTATAGTATTTAAATTTTTATTTATGATTTCAAGATGATTTATTTCTTCCCAACTACAGGGATGTTTTTGCTGACGAAAAACCGGTTTTTATTTTCAACTTCCCCTATTTTCCTTACTTGTTGAATTTTCCGCTCCAAGGTTCGTGAAAGGGGCTATTCCTTACTCTTATGCCAAGTGATTCTGGGATTTTTTATAAGAATTTTATACTGATGTGTGACATGGCAAATTGATGTAACGCGCGATGTCACGCAAAGTGAACGAGACGCGTCTATTGCTGGGATACGTGGGATACAAAATGGCGAGGACGAGGCACAATAACATAAAGGTCTCTTTCATGTTTTTATAAAGCTAAGAGGTCAAGGCTCATATTTACACGACAAACCATATATATAAACGACAGGTAGGTAAATTATTTTGGTTTAAAAAAAATCCGGCATTTGTCCTGCAATGTTCACAATGTACGTTTATCCTTTGACCTCGAGGTCTCTCGATGCTTACTGAACCGTACGCACTCTGCCTTAAGTTTTCCTTCGTTTCCTTTTTTCCTTTCTCACTCTCAACGGGAGTTTGATTTGTTAGATGAAATTCTGGTGTTAAAATTTATCAGTCCACCATTGAATAATGTGTTTTATTATCCGCTTCAAAGTTACCTTCATAATTATAATTGCCAGATGGCCTCGCTGGCTTGATTTGTCGGACGGATTTTTCTTCCTGCTTAATTTGAGAAATTTTAGCCAAGTTATTGAGATCTCAGTAGCTGGACATTTTTCCATTTGTTATATTAACTCATCGAGATTTTCACCTTAAAAAGTGGGGTGAGATTAGATGTCGAAAACCCCAACAGACCGATATGAAGATTGTCGTACTTATTTATAGTTTTGGTTGCGACGGGAACACGAAATTTGTTTGACCCGGGTTTGTGCATATGTGAAGCATTGCCGCCCTTTCATGTAATTACGGGTCGTGGCATTCAGAAGATCTTTATTACAACGTGATAGATAGTCAAAATGTAGCCGCCATCTACTCAATGAAATATATTTTGGACTGAAGGCAAGGATTGTAAACTTAACGAGATGAACCGCAAATTTGAAGAGGCCATACATCGTAAGTGGCTGATATCGCTTTCATGGTGATGTGTGTATTTTAGTGTACTTGAAACTTGAAAATAAATTAGAACGTTCATGTTTTACTCTGAACACATGTGGTGAGTATCTATATTTTGAAAAAAAGTTACTCGCGCGTTAAATCTCCTCGTTGCTTTTTGGACAGTTATTGTTATTTGCAGTTTACCTAATGAAATGAGATATTTTGAACCTGATTTCCCACTTGATCTTCCAAAGGGAGCCATATGGCAAATGAAAGTTTAAAATATTGCGAAGACTACCTTCTCAGGAAAGAGGGACGAAGTAAGGTTAGTGAACTATTTCATAGAGACTAAGATTTCCTAACGGCGGTTTCAGAAATGGTACCGAGAAAGCTGTACTTTATAGTTAGCCGTTTAAGAACTATTGTTTGTGCTTAAGTAAAGAAACGAATTCATTCAGGTTCGCACCGAACAACTACAGAAATAAACGTAGCGTTAACAGGCGCCTCAGTTTACTCTTCGATATCATTGATGTTAAAAAAGGGTTGTTTTCAAGTAGCCTAGTAGTTGATGCCTACGTTGTGATGTATGTATATGATAAAGCGCTATGTAAATTTTGCTCAAATTAGCTATTAGTTCAACCTTGAGTCAAGTTTTATGAGCCGGCGTTTACAAAACCCGCAAAGAAGCCGAAGTTTTGACAATTTATTGTTGTGAAGGTCGCGAAGAAAACTTTGTGGAGGCTTTTTCTCTATTGCGCGAGGAAATATCCCGAGGATAAAGAAGAAATAGTTAAATATTCTTCAGTTTTGGTGAAGGTAATCAAGCGTTAAGTTGGTATAGTGTATGCGGTTTGTTCTTTCCCTCGCGATTCACTGAAGATGAACCGAAAAGCACTTGAAGACCAAATCAATCAGACAACAAACGTGTACATACGGATTGTTTTGTTTATACACTCCAAAGCAGTAGTTTGGTGTTGTTTTTTTTTTTCTGAGAAAAAGTGCTGATGTTTAGTGACAAAGACGCTTTGTTGTTTCTGATTGCAGTGGATACAATATTGGGTGGTTATAAGAGGCGTTTGGATGTTGTTCTACAGAGATCAGGCGACAACCAATCGAGACAATGTAAGTTAATGCATCGTGGTCGGACCTGTCGGGAATTAATCATCATTAAAAATTTTAATTTCGTGTCTATTATGCAATCAGTATCTTCAGTGCTAATTAACTCTGTGAGACGTAATTTTGCTTTTAAAAGTAGATTTTAACAGTGCGTTAGACAGGTCATTGCGACACAATATAAACCGAAAGTTGTAAATTAGGCTCGGTTCAGACGCCGATCTTTTCTCTAGCCGAACCTAATTCCTTGAATCAAGTACATGTAAAGATCTGCGTCTGAATCAATTTGGAACGGCTCACCCGTTCTTCCCGCCTGGCTTGGCCGAGAATTTCGCCTTGGGAACGTGTTGTGTATTCATTTAGTGGAGTCACACACTCCTCAATTACTAACTAATATTCTATCTTTATTCGTTGATCAAGTATCTTATAAGCTGGTAGAATAGTCTCACTTAGTAACAGTACTTTCACATCACTCAGCACTCTAACAGTAATATCACTAACACTAGTACAAGTACTTTTTCTGTGTTCTCAATACACTACAGAACGCCTTTGGAACGGCTTTAATTCAGACGCCGTACTTTTCATATGCCGATTCTAACATACAACTTATTGTAGTGTATTTTGCAAGCAGTTTGACTGGTTTTTACTGGAACTGTATTTGGAACGGTCAAAAATAACGGCGTCTGAATTAACAGACGCCTTAACTTGGGTCGGTCCAAATTCGAATTGAGTTCGGCTCTTGAAAAGTTCGGCGTCTGAACCGGGACAGCATTTTCGTTATTGTTATATTTTTAGCATTTGTTTGAATTCGCAGTCATTTACGTCAGTAAAGTGATATCCCTTCTTTGTACTTTGACAAATCTTTTAAATACAATTGTTGAAAATTTGAAAACTCGACGATCTCTTCATGGGAATACAATTTCATCGAACACGATTTTCAAAACCCTTCCGCTTCTGAGGGTGGAATTTTTTTGTTTTGTTTTATAAAACATAGATTTCAAAAGCTAATTTATAGACGCTGCATTCACCCGTCAACTGAAAGAGCTTGTCTCGATCAGCGGAGTTTTTGCTGCAAATTAGAAGCAAAGATCCCGACGCTTTGGGACGTTTCCAAAGACCTCAAACTTCCGTGAGAGGCTTTTATGACCACCTGTCAAAGACAATGTACTTGCTGTTTTTATTGACATTATAGTGAAGTGGTCTATGTCAGGTCGCGAAAATTTCATTGTGAAATATAATGCGTCGGAGTTGAAAACGTGGAAATAATTAGCAGATTCAGTTCTTTGTGAAGCGGAAAAGTTTACACAATAGCCTATCGCTGAGGTTTCACTGTACTTCCTAACAGAGCTTGCCGAAAGATCCACTCTGTGTAATAAACTTTGGATTAACTCAGCGAGGGTTAAGAACGTAGGAGGGAAGAAGTTCTCAAAAAGAAAAATAATAGAAAAGATGTTAAGAAAACATTGCGCTGAGCAGATGAAGAAACGTGCTCAATTACTTAAGAGGAAAAAAAAATTCCAGTCAATCACGTCCAGCTGTAATCGGTGTTATCATATGACCCATAGCAAACCATAATGAAAGCTGACGTGTGTAGGGTCGGGCCGGTTGACGTGAGCCGGTCAGGAAAAAGCCGCCCGGCCTTGCTGCCCTCACGTTACTTTGTTGCAAAAACTTAAACGAAAACAGAAATGAGAAAAAAGAGTCGCGCTTTTCGAGGTATAGGGAGTTTCGACGTTTCTTGTTCTGACTTGATAAAATAAGGGAAAAGTTTTAATTGCATAATTTTTTTTGTGTGCTCATGTGGCTGCTTGTGCCCGTCCATCGCGTCCTATTTAGGTTAAAAGTTCCAACACTTCGGAATCTTAAGCCGGCGACACACCTGGCGATTTTATTCGCCGATCGCGGTGAATTTGATCGCAGCGATCGGCATATAACATCGCCGATATTTGGCATGTCAAATACCAACGATTTTATACGGCGATCGGCGAAAATCGCCAGGTGTGTCGCCGGCTTAAGGCAGTTCGCAAAAGGCCTCTTTCAGTCTTCCAGCTGATCATTTACCCGGAGGGTACAAGCGCGATGTTTAACGTTATTTTGACCCTCCATTCAGCTGTGATAAAAAGACATCTTTTTTAACTTAGAAACATCATCAAAATGGTCGTGTTATTTTTCAGTTTAAAGGTTCCATCGAGCTAACGTCATGCACAAAGTGCAACATACCGAGAAGAGGAAATTACAGCTTTCCGTTCCTTGTCGTCACAGGAAGAGGAACGCATCTGTTCAAGGTTACATCACTAGTTTTTTTTTTCAATATTTTTTTGCAGTCTCTTGACTGACTAAGTAGAAAGGGGGGGAACTTCCTACAGACTAATAATGCCTATAAACCAGCCATGAGGTTGTCTCTCACCCCTTGTTGAGATGTAAACTTTTCTTTACGAGGGGTGAGCACTTAGGCCGTGGACAACGATTGTAACATCCCCCCCCCCCACCTCTTCTTGTCTGTCTCCACCCCTCACGCACAAACGCCGAAACACGCCATTTTGTTACTCCGGGGAGAGTGGTGGTCGTGTTTTCATTTTGTCCAAGTTTGTAGATTCTAGATCGAGAGAAAACGAAAAGAAAGAAGAGAAAACGTAGATTGCAAAGAAAACTCGCAGTCTTGGATTTGAAATAAAGGAAATTCGAAATTTTTGAAATAAAGGAAAGTCGAAATTTTTCCGACTGTGAAACTGAATGTAAAACTTTTTTTTTTTCCAATTTTCTGCAGTGCGACACAAATTTAAAACGACACCAATGGATGTATCACATTAACTTGGCAGCGAAGGTGAGTTTAAATAAATATGATTTTTAACTGATAACCCCTCGTCTTGTCACACAATATCAACATCATTGGTTGTGTGTTCGGTGCGATATTTATCTGATGAAAAGCGTAATAACTAGCTTATTCTGATTACACTCAGACGAGATATTCCATGTCAAAAGTTTCTTTAGGATGAGTCAGCCAGTCTTGTAGTATACGCTTCCTAATACAATCTGCACTGCCCTACACGTGAAACTGAAGGGTTCTCTAAAAAGGGCCTGTACTACGCCAGATACGAAAAATTACCAAAAAAAAAAACCACCCTTTAGAAGTGGCCAAAAATATGTGGAAAAGTATTCTTCATCTTATGCGGCAGCCCAATATCCCGAGGAAAGGGTAACTAACCTGGTTACACTTCTAAACGCGCAGAAAAATCAATGAATGTAGTGATATTTTACAGAGAGTTGTAAAACAAAAACTACATCAAATAAGAAAAAAGAAAGTGGTCAAACCTGAGACCGACCGACCTACTTAATTTTCCCGCGAAACGCTTAAATGACTCGATACTACCATGATGCAAAGTGAACCTCTTCAGAATCTATTAATTTCTGACTGATTCGTTCCCATGTCACTGAAGCGTCAATTACATTTTTTGCAACTTGTGTTCACCAGGGTGATACGCCGACACCGCCTCCCGTAACTGTCCCTTCCCCGCGCTCTTCATCTACGGAATTAAACTCTCAAGACGCCGAGGTGAATCACGTAGAGATAGACAGGCGGAACTCTGAGTCAGAAGAAGATGACGTCTCTCTTCCACCAGGGGTGATTCTTGTTACCACGCCCATGGAAGAATTGCCTCACGACGAGAAAGAATCAAATGGACGCTCTAGCTCAATTCAAGGTATTTCTAAAACAAGAGTCGCTCACTTGCTCTCGACGATTAAGAATAAGACTTTTAGCTGATCGATTTTGAGCAAGTCATTCATCGGCTATCGGTGCGGTATTTAAAAAAAAAAAAAATTGGAACGAACTAGCGAACTCATTGGAAGTATGTTTTTAATTTACATTTCAGATCCAGTACAAGATGACAACCTCAGCAATGCTGTGCTAACGACAGGAATCACTGGGGCAACGAGTGGTGATTATTAGCATTTTTTTTTAGAGGAGTACAAAACAGTCTGGGATAAGAATGTTTTGGCGTAGTCGAGGGCATGCAACGTACCCAGAAATAAGATAATGCAAGAGATGAATTCATAGAGGAAGCAGATCAGGCATGTTTCCTTTGGTGACCCTCCAGACTTCTTTCGCCGGGTTTAAAAGACGTTGAAATTGTAAATTTTAATCCAAATGTCCTTCATAAGCTGTTGAGCTTTCCTCCTGCACCCATCTTTTCTCTGCAATAAATAGCCATTGTTTTTACTTTTACATCTGTAACTTTTTTTGCTCTTTTGCTTTTTCTCAGTCGTCAGGAAACCGCAAAAGTTCTCTGTCAAAGCATCTACATCTCAGCACAATACAATGGGTATGTGATATGGTTTCTTTCGCTAGTTTTTAGCAAGAGTACCTATAGCGGATCCAGGGGGGGTGGTTCGGGTGGTTCAGTCGAACCCCCTTAATTTTTTTTCAGAACGCTGGAAATCATGTTTCCGAAGACCTAATTTTAAAAATCTCGGACCCCTCCGGAGGGGTACAATTCTACGAACCCCCCTTGACTAAATCCTGGATCCGCCCCAGAGTACATCAGAGGTTCTCTTGTTATAGGAATGGAATTCATCGTAGACCTTCCCAGAAAATTACTCAACAAAGAGAATTAATGTGGCACTCTAGGCGCAGCCGAGTGTGTCACTGATGGACCATGGTGTTTTCAACACATTTTCTGATCCATGTTAAAAACAGAATTGGCATCTAGCAAGAATTTTCATTAAGTGTGCTTTTTAAACATATTTAAGTATTAAGAAAATGAACGGAAATAATATATAATACTTTAAGCCATTCAGTTTGAAAATTATAATAAGCAAGTTGATTATTTCCTATTCCTTTTGGCGGTCGTATCTCATCTACTACTAAACAGACCTAAGGCAACATGTGGTCTTTGTTTTACATAATAAAGAAGCAAAAAAAAC